ATATAGTATATTATATAACATATGTATATATAATTACTTGATATACATACATACACGCACTCAAACAATGGAGTCATAGGAAATGGAAAGACTAAGTGCCAAATATTGAAAGCCAGAAACTTCGTACAAAGCTCTGGAAAGGCTAAATATCTTTCATCTATCTATCTATCTATCTATCTATCTATCTATCTATCTATCTATCTATTTTTGTGCCAGTTTTAGTATTAGAACTGGACACTGTCCCTTAGCTTTTTCACTGAAGGCTATCACTCTATCACTCAAGCATTTTGCTCCTTAATTGGAAATGAAGAGTCACAAACTTTTCTGCCTGGGCCGATTTATACCTTCATCCTCAAGTCTCTGAGTAGCTAGGATTATAGGCATGAGCCACAGAGGCCCAGCTCTCTCTGTCTCTGTCTCTCTCGCTCTGTTTCTGTCTCTCTGTATGTGTGTCTCTTTCTTTCTTATCTTTCTCCCTCTTTTTTTCCTTTTTAAAATTGTCTTTAAATAGTTGTGCAAAGGGGTTTCAAGTCAACAAACCAACATGTAAGTATGATGTATTTTGGTCAATGTTATGCTAGGAAGCAAAAAAAGTTTGCAAGACTCCATCCCATTTAACAAGACCCTATTGATACTCAGTGCTTGTTATCCTATCTATTAAAAGGCCATGGGTTAAGGGATTGCAGTTGAGGGGCAGGTCCTGGGCAAAAACATGAGACCCTACCTAAAACAATGAAAGCCAAGAATATGGCTCAGTGATAGAGTGCCTGCCAGGCAAACATGACATTCTGAGTTGATACCCCCTAGTATAGACAGACACAGACTAAAAACAAAACTACTGCCATGTGAGGATTATCCCACTCAATCTGCCAACAAACAAGCAAAGTTTATGATGAAAAACAAAAAGCAACAACTTCAACAACAACAACAAAAACAGCCTCCTGAAATCTTGGCTACTCAGGAAGCTGAGATATGAGGATCACTATGTAAAGTCAGCGTGGGTGGGAAAGTGTAACACTTATCTCCAATTAACTACCAAAAAGCTGAAAGTACAGCTGTGGCTCAAGTGGCAGAGATTTGCCCAAGTAAAAAATCCCAGGGTCCTGTGCTCAGGTCCTATGTTCAAGCCCCAGGATGGGCACAAACAAAACAACCCAAGAATATTCACTATATTTTATAACGATCTGATTGCTTTCTTCTTGTCCTTTTGTTTCAAAAGAACTGAATTATGAGGAACTTACAAACAAAAAGAGAAATGATATTATCCTGAATCACACAACATAACCATGATTTGTATATACTGATGATAATAATAATAATAGATACTACTTCAATCTACAAATCTTTTGCCAAATTATAGCAAACTAATGACAACAAGGTTGTGGCTTTATGGAGAGAGAAAGCAAATGATTAAAAGCTTAAAAATATCTCCTTTAAAAAAGACGTCAATAGTTTTCAGAGCTGAAAAATCCAGATATGGCTGGACTCCACTCTCTTGTCTGATCCCAGCAGACTACAGGTGCATATGCAGTATGCACACTCAATGCTGTAAGGTAAAATTAAGAAATTGTGGTCGTTTTTGCGTGTAATTTGTATATATGGTGTTAAGCTTGGATTCCAGGCCCTCTGCAGGAGCAGGCTTTGAAAATGTTCTATGTCCTGTGGCTCTGTTGGCTTTTTAACTTTAGGTAAGGAAAGGCACTAGTAGGATATTACTTTTCTTCTTTTTTTGTTTTTTAGATTTTTTGAGGATTTATACTTTTATTATTTTTTAAAAAATTGTAAAGTACAGAGGGGTTACTGTTACATAATTAAGGTAGTGAGTACATTTCTTTTTCAACAGTGTTACCCCTCCCTCATTTTCTCCCACTCCCCTCCCCCACTTTACTCCTGCGGGTTCCCCCTTCCCCCCCCTCCCAGTAGGAGATTCTTAGGGATCTTTACTGTCCCTGGGCTAGAAGGCCTTAGACTTGTAACCAGATCCAGCCAGTCTGGGTTTAATTTGAAGCAAGAAACCAAGGGCTAACGATGTAGGGCCGGAAGTGCCCAGCAGAGGGCAGTATTGACTCATGTCAGCGCGCAGCGCGCTTCGCGTTTGGAGGGGCGCTCTGGTGGCCAGGAAGAAATGTATGACATATGCCCTATATTTTGCATTGTCTGGCTTAAACTCATGGTTTTGCGAGTTACTTCCCTTAAAGGGGAAAATTACTGACCTTACTCCTAGTTATTCTTTCTCCGTTGGAGAAGCAATGCGTACTCTCTCAAAACCTATCTGTGGCGAAGAAAGATGAGGAGAGTTCCCGCCGCCCGTAAGACGTGGCAGGCGGGCATGGTGTTAGCATTTCCAACTTCCTCACATTTTGTTTCCCATTTCGTATCCCTCGTCTTCCCTTGGGCCCCAAACTAAACAAAACCTTTATTAGATTTCCTTTGGCTACAAAGTATCCAGAGGGCGAAATTACTCCATCATGGGTCAAAATTCCAAAACTAATTTTTTTCAGAAGAACGCGACTCTGTTCCAAAGGCCGCTGTGGTCACCTCAGAAATGGGAAGGCTTTTTCTGACACCCGAATTCCAGGTGTGGGGAAAACAACGCCTAGCAGACACCGCCTGCCCCCCCCCCCAGCCCCCTATCAGAGGGTGGGGTTTTGGGGACGGGTCTTGAGGGGTGTAGACTCCGGGAAGGCGGGGCGGAGGGGCGAGGGGGCCGCTCGGGGACTGCGTCGCAAGGCCGGCGATGGGTGACTGACTGATCCCGCAACACAGCGACTCCGCAGATCTTTCTGGCAGTGGGAGAGGAAGGGCACGGAAAGGGTTAAGGCAATCTGTGCGGCGCATTCCCAGACAGGCTTGGCTTAATCCTTCCTCCCGCTTTACCAGGCCCGTACCCCCCGCCTCCCTTTTATTACTCTCCACGACCCCCTTTACCCCTGCGGGCCTTACAACCTGGGGTCGGCCCCCTCCCACCCCCTCCTCCACTAAAGTTTATTCGCAAGCCGGACCCACCCCCATCTATTCTGCAGCCGCACTCTGCGGTTATAAAGGGGACGCTGGCCAAGATTTGCCCAGAGGGGTGGGGGGGAAAGAGCATGAGGAGATGAGGGGCTCAGTGGCCCCCTCCCTACTCAACACCTCCGCCGGGCTGCACTCCCACGCGGACCGCCCACAGCCCCGGGGCGGGCCTGGGGAGTGATGAGCATCCAGAGCAACCAATCAGAGGCCGGGACAGACAGCGGCGCCCGTTTATGGTGGGTGTGGCAAGCGGGACCACGACCCAATGAGGCCGCGGCGGGGGCGGGACGGTAGGTGACAGGACCGGAGCCCGGGGGAGTGGCGGAGAACTCCAGCGCCGGGGATCACTGAGTGCGGAGCAAAGTTTCGGAGCCTGAGCTGGGCTGCAGCTCGCGGCCCGCCCTTCCCCGGTCAGGGAACGAGTGTGTGTGTGTGTGTGTTTGTGCATATGTGCTTGCCCACTCGTGTGGATGCACGCGCGCGCGTGTGAGTGTGTGCACCAGTATGTGCTTGCATGGGCGTGTGCACGCGCGCGGGTGTTCATGAGTGCGCGCGCGTGTACAGCGCGCGCGTAAGCGTGTGCATCCGTGTGCGCCTGCATGTGTGCAGGGCACATGTGTGCACCTCAGTACACCCGTGTGTGTTCGCGTGTGTGCACCCGCGCATGTGTGCGTGCCTGAGTGTGATCTTGCGCGCGCATGAGTGTGTGTGTGTGCGCGAGTGCGCGCGGCAGGGAAGGGGCGGGGCCGCGGGCCGCCGCGGGGGCTGGGAAGGACCCGCCGAGCCCGAGCCGCTACACGGTTCCACCTCTGGCCCCGGCAGGCGAGCTGAGCGCTGACAGGCGCGGCCCGGAGCTGCGCAAGGTCCCTTCACAGCCCGTCCAGCTTCCCCGCCGGCATCGCCACGGTGACCAAGGAGGAGAAAGAGAAGAGGGGACCCAGCACCCCGCCCCAAACAAAAAGCCTTGTGGATTACAAAGTGAAACTGACCCGGGACAATAGCGGAGCGCGCAGCCCGGCGAGGGCTTCCGACCCCAGTCGCCCGAGGCGAGAACCCCATGCCACACTGAAGGGAGGGGACGCGGGGGCTCGCGCGCCGCTCCGGCCAGACCCTCGGGAGGCCGAGAAGAAAGGAAACCCCGCGCTCCACTTGGATGTACAAATAATGGATGGGCAGGCGCCCAGGCGGAGGTGAACTATGCGGTGGAGGGCTGGCGGCTGCCAGCGTCGGGTCTCGGGCTCCGGGCCGCAGCAGGGGCGGCGACGGCGGTGGCGGCTGGAGAGCCAGGAACAGAGCTGAGCGCTCGGGACACCGCCGCCGGAGCGCCGGGAACGCGGCGGATTGCCGGCGCGCACACGCCGCCCGAGGGCCTAGGCGGCCGCCGCCAGGGCCGGATTGGAGGGAGGGGTGCCGCAGCCCGCGTCTATGAGGAAGGGTCTCCAGGAACTCCCTGTCTCCAGCTCCCCGAGGGCAGGGAAATCGCTCTCCCCAGATTTCCCCTCGCTCCTTGAACAACGCCAGCTCTCCACAGTGGGTAAGTTCTAAAGTTTCTGGAGATTTTTTTTGTTTTTGTTTTTTCTGCACTGATTGCTCAGATTCAATTCTGAAATCACATACCTCCTACCCACCCGAGCCAGAGCGTTCCGATTCTGCGGATCAAAAACAAAACTCAAGGAAAGGCAAACAGAAAAAAAAAAAAAGCCAGAGGGCCGAACAACTTTCCTGAGAGGATCCGCCGGGGGCCCGCGGAGTCCGCGGCCGCTTTTCGGCTCAGCATCTTCCCCTGCGCCCTGCGTGCATCGGGCGACCTGGACCCATTTTTTTCGGTGCTGCAGGGGTCTTTCTGGGGCCGAACTGAACTGCCTTTGACAGTCTAGGGGTCTCAGCCCCAGCCGATCGCCTCCGCTGCTCCATCCGACCGGGTAAGGATTCCTCGCCTCTCCTCAGCTTCCTTCCCTGCGGGGACTCCGCTCTGGAAGCCAAGGACCATGACCCTGGCAGCGGACGGGGCTGCGGGCCACGCGTGCCCGCCGCCCCTCACGCTGTGCCCATCCCGGCTCCTTCGAGTCCTGTGGCTGCTTTGCCTGCTGCCCGGCCCCGCCTGGGTCGAGGGCGCCGAGCAGCGCCAAGTGTTTCAGGTTCTGGAAGAACAACCGCCCGGCACCCTGGTGGGCGCCATTCAGACGCGCCCCGGCTTCACCTACCGGCTCAGCGAAAGCCACGCCTTATTCGCCATCAACAGCAGCACCGGAGTCCTGTACACCACGGCCACCATCGACCGCGAGAGTCTGCCTAGCGACGTGATCAACTTGGTGGTGCTGTCCAGTTCACCTACTTATCCGACCGAAGTGCGCGTGCTGGTGCGCGATCTCAACGACAACGCGCCCGTCTTCCCGGACCCCTCCATCGTGGTCACGTTCAAGGAGGACAGCGGCAGCGGGCGGCAGGTCATCCTGGACACCGCCACCGACGCGGACATCGGCTCCAACGGCGTGGACCACCGCTCCTACCGCATCGTGCAGGGCAACGCGGCGGGGCGCTTCCGCCTGGACGTCACCCTGAACCCCAGCGGCGAGGGCGCCTTCCTGCACCTCGTCTCCAAGGGCGGGCTGGACCGCGAGGCCACCCCGCAGTACCAGCTCCTGGTGGAGGTGGAGGACAAAGGCGAGCCGAAGCGGCGGGGGTACCTGCAGGTGAACGTGACAGTGCAGGACATCAACGACAACCCCCCGGTTTTCGACAGTACCCAGTACCAGGCAGGGGTGCCCGAGGACGCGGCCGTGGGTTCCAGCGTCCTGCAGGTGGCAGCGGCGGACGCGGACGAGGGGACCAACGCGGACATCAGGTACCGGCTGCAGGACGAGGGCACCCCTTTCCAGATGGACCCCGAGACCGGGCTCATCACGGTGCGCGAACCGCTGGATTTCGAGGCCCGGCGCCAGTACGCGCTGACCGTCCAGGCGATGGATCGGGGTGTGCCCTCGCTGACCGGGCGCGCCGAGGCGCTCATCCGGCTGCTGGACGTCAACGACAACGACCCGGTGGTGAAGTTCCGGTACTTTCCGGCCACATCCCGCTACGCCTCCGTGGACGAGAATGCCCAGGTGGGTACCGTGGTGGCTTTGCTCACTGTCACCGACGCCGACTCCCCGGCGGCCAATGGCAACATCTCTGTGCAGATCCTCGGAGGCAACGAGCAGCGCCACTTTGAGGTGCAGAGGAGCAAAGTGCCCAACCTGAGCCTCATCAAAGTGGCCAGTGCCCTGGACCGCGAGCGCATCCCCTCCTACAACCTCACAGTCTCCGTGTCTGACAACTTTGGGGCGCCCCCCGCCGCAGAGACCCGGGCGCGCTCGTCTGTGGCCAGCCTGGTGATCTTCGTCAACGACATCAATGACCACCCGCCAGTCTTTGCCCAGCAGGTGTACCGGGTGAACCTGAGTGAGGAGGCGCCCCCTGGGAGCTACGTGAGTGGGGTGTCTGCCACGGACGGGGACTCAGGGCTCAATGCCAACCTGCGATACAGCATCGTCTCTGGCAATGAACTGGGGTGGTTCCGGATAAGTGAGCACAGTGGCCTGGTGACCACTGCAGCCTCTGGTGGCCTTGACCGTGAACTCGAGTCCCAGATTGTACTGAACATCAGTGCTCGCGACCAGGGAGTCCACCCCAGAGTGTCCTATGCTCAGCTAGTCGTTACTCTTTTGGATGTGAACGACCAGAAGCCAGTGTTTAGCCAGCCACAAGGGTACCAGGTGTCTGTGGTGGAGAATACCCCAACTGGGACAGAATTGCTCGTGGTTGGTGCAAAGGATGGGGATTTGGGTGACAATGGGACAATCCGCTTCTCCCTACAGGAACCGGAAGGTGCCCACAGGGTCTTCCGGCTGGACCCTTTGTCGGGGAGGTTGAGCACAGTTTCCTTTCTGGACAGGGAGGAGCAAGCCTCCTATTCTCTGTGGGTTATGGCCACAGATCTGGGCTCCCCTCCCCAGACGTCTGTGGCCCGCATCAACGTGAGTCTGGTGGATCTGAATGATAACACTCCAGTGTTCTATCCTGTCCAATATTTTGCTCATATCCAAGAGAATGAACCAGGAGGGAGCTATGTGACCACTGTCTCTGCCTCTGACCCTGACCTGGGGCCCAATGGAACTGTCAGGTATACCATTTCAGCAGGGGACAGGTCCAGGTTTCAGATCAATGCTCAGAGTGGGGTGATTTCTACTCGGATGGCCCTAGATAGAGAAGAGAAAACAGCCTACCAATTGCAAGTAGTGGCTACTGATGGTGGCAATTTACAATCACCCAACCAGGCCATTGTCACCATCACGGTTTTGGACACACAAGATAACCCACCTGTGTTCAGCCAGGTGGCCTATAGCTTTGTGGTGTTTGAGAACGTGGCTTTGGGCTATCAGGTGGGCAGAGTGTCAGCGACAAGCATGGATCTCAACACGAACATCACTTATGTCATTACCACTGGGGACCAGAAAGGCATGTTTGCCATTCACCAGGCCACAGGACAGCTGACCACAGCCAGTGTGATCGACAGAGAAGACCAGGCATTTTATCAGCTCAAAGTAGTAGCTAGTGGTGGTGCAGTGACTGGAGACACAGAGGTGAACATAACAGTGAAGGATCTGAATGACAACGCTCCTCATTTCCTCCAGGCTGTGGAGAGTGTCAATGTGGTAGAGAACTGGCAGGCTGGCCATACTGTTTTCCAAGCTAAAGCAGAGGATCCCGATGAAGGCGTCAATGGCCTAGTGGTCTATAGTCTGAAACAAAACCCCATGAATCTGTTTGCCATCGATGAAAGGAATGGTACTGTTAGTCTCCTGGGTTCCTTGGATGCACATGCTGGTTCTTACCAAATGGAAATCTTGGCGTGTGACACCGGGGTGCCCCAGCTTTCCTCTAGCCTCATTGTAACCGTGTATGTCCATGATGTCAATGACAACCCACCTGTGTTTGACCAGATTTCTTATGAGGTCACTCTTTCTGAGTCTGAACCTGTGAATTCTCGGTTCTTCCAAGTTCAGGCTTCTGATCAGGACTCTGGGGCCAATGGAGAAATTGCATATGACATTGTGGAAGGCAACACCGCTGGTGCGTTTGGCATCTTCCCAGATGGTCAGCTGTATATAAAAAGTGAACTTGACCGTGAGCTTCAAGACAGATATGTTCTGATGGTTGTTGCTTCTGACAGAGCCATTGAACCACTCAGTGCTACTGTGAACGTGACTGTGATTCTAGAAGATGTTAATGATAACAGACCTCTTTTCAACAGCACTAATTACATGTTTTACTTTGAAGAGGAGCAGGCAGCTGGGTCATTTGTGGGCAAAGTAAGTGCTGCCGATAAAGATTTGGGGCCTAATGGAGAAGTAAGGTATTCCTTTGAGATGGCACAGCCAGACTTTGAGTTACATGCCATCACTGGGGAAATCACAAGCACTCGTCAATTTGACAGGGAGTCTTTTGTGAGACAGAGGGGAAACGCCATGTTCAGCTTCACAGTCATCGCCATGGACCAGGGGCTCCCTCATGTGCTCAAGGACCAGGCGAGTGTCCATGTGTACATGAAGGATATAAATGATAATGCTCCTAAATTTTTAAAAGACTTTTACCAAGCTACCATATCAGAGACAGCAGCTAACCTAACCCAGGTTTTAAGGGTATCGGCTTCAGATGTCGATGAAGGCAATAATGGACTGATTCATTATTATCTCATCAAAGGAAATGAAGAAAGGCATTTTGCTGTGGACAGCATATCAGGTCAGGTGACGCTTATCGGCACCCTGGATTATGAAACCACACCGGCCTATTCCCTAGTGATCCAGGCAGTGGATTCAGGAGCAATCTCCCTCAATTCAACCTGTACACTAACCATCGAGATTTTAGATGAAAATGACAATAATCCTTCCTTCCCCAAGGCCACGCTAATGGTGGACGTTTTGGAGAACATGAGGGTTGGTGAGCTGGTGTCGTCGGTGACGGCCACGGACTCGGATTCGGGGGACAATGCCGATTTGCATTACAGCATCACCGGGACCAACAACCACGGGACCTTCAGCATCAGCCCCAACACTGGCAGCATTTTCCTCGCTAAGAAACTGGACTTCGAAACCCAGTCTCTGTATAAACTAAACATCACTGCCAAAGACCACGGCAGGCCCCCTCGCTCATCCACTATGTCAGTGGTGATCCAGGTGAGAGACTCCAACGACAATGCACCCAGCTTTCCGCCCGGGGACATCTTCAAGTCCATCGAGGAGAACATTCCCGTCGGCTCGCCGGTCCTCTCCGTGACGGCGCACGACCCCGACGCCGACATCAACGGCCGGCTGGCCTACGCCATTGTGCAACAGCGGCCCCGCGGGGGCCATTTCTGCATAGACGAGGCCCAGGGTGTCATCTACACAAGCGCCGAGATTGACCGAGAGTTCGCCAACCTCTTTGAGCTGACCGTGAGGGCCAGCGACCAGGCCGTGCCCGTGGAGACCAGGCGCTGCGCCTTGAAGAATGTCACCATCCTGGTCACGGACCTCAACGACAACGTCCCCACGTTCATCTCGCAGAATGCCCTGGCGGTGGACCCGGCCACTGTGGCCGGCTCGGTGCTGACCACCCTCCTGGCCGCTGACCCCGACGAAGGAGTCAACGGAGAGGTGGAGTATGAGATCGTCAACGGGGACGCGGGCGCCTTCAGCGTGGACCGCTTCAGCGGGGACCTGCGCGTGGCGGCCGCCCTGGTGCCCTCGCGGCTCGTCTACAACCTCATCGTGGCAGCCACAGATCTTGGCCCTGAGCGCAGGCGATCAACTACAGAACTGACCGTCCTTCTGCAGGGCCTGGATGGGCCCGCGTTCACGCAGCCCAAATACATCACCATTCTGAAGGAAGGGGAGCCCATTGGCACCAACGTCATCTCGGTGGAGGCGGCCAGCCCCCGGGGCGCCGAGGCCCCCGTGGAGTACTACATCGTGTCTGTGCGCTGCGAGGAGAAGACAGTGGGTCGCCTCTTCACCATCGGGCGACACACGGGCGTTCTGCAGACGGCCGCAGTCCTGGACCGGGAGCAGGGCGCCTGTCTTTACCTGGTGGATGTTTACGCCATAGAGAAATCGTCGGCTTTCCCCAGGACGCAGAGAGCAGAGGTAATGATTTGGAATTCTCTTTGTATTTGCTGTGAATGCGATGTTAATGTACGTTATTGTCTCTGTGTGTTCTTCCTATCATGATTTCCACTGGTTGATAGATTGATGGTTTATTTGCTTGATTGGGCCAGTCCTGGAGCTTAAAACCAGGTTAGTGCTCTACTGCTTGAGCCTCACCTCCACTTCCGGCTTTTTGAAGGTTAATTGGAGATTGAAGTCTCATGGTTTTCCCGCCCAGGTTGGCTTTGAACATAGACCCTTAGATCTTAGCCTCCTGAATAGCTAGGGTGACAGCTGTGAGCCACTGCTACCCAGTTATTTTCCCTTATTTTTTAATGCTGAATTATTATTATTTTTTAATAAAAAGGAGCAGAGGGGAAAAAGGTTCTGTCATAAATACTATTTCAGAAAAAATGTAGAGGTATGATCTTGGTTACTCTAATGACATTTTTTTCTAGTATATGCATCACCTCATAGAAATCATCAGGCTAAGGAGAAATAGTAAGTGGGATCCATTTATATGAACTGAACTGTGGTACTAACCTACACTTACCTTTCAGTAAGGATGACCTCCAGGGGAGGGCAATCCCAGAATAAAAAATTCCCTGTTGCACAATGAAAACCTTCAGTAGAAGTCTGCAAGGTGACCTAGCTTTTGGGGATGAGTAGATTTGGAGATCAGCGTGAGAACTTACATAAGGACACTGTTAACTGCCATGTCCTTAGCAATCTTGGCATATTCTTTTTCAAAAGTGCGTAATTCTGATGGGCTGAGCCAAGTTTGGGAGGAGACTCTTGACATCATCTGAAGTACGTTCTAAGCTCCACCCTCTGACTCAGGTCCATCCTTTCTCCTCCCCTGAAAGCATATCATGTTTTATGAATGAACCAAACGGAGTTGTGTAATGCCATATAGAAGTACATGCTGATGGGTAAGGGATTGGTGTTTCACGGTACAAGCCAAGAGAATACCACACTTGGCCTTTCCTATCACAACTCTAGGTTACAGCCTCCATGGTCCCATTGATTGTATTTTCTCAGTTGAATTTCAATTTCCTGTGTTGAGCTGATCATTGTCCTGCTTTGATCCAGTGATACTGGGGAAGGTCTCGTTTGCTGTCTTCTAGGTTTTTTTTTCTACCTTCCCTCACAGATATTCTAGAGCTTGTTACTCAGCCAGAAGTACAAAATATCAAATGTGGTTTGTGATACTTGGCGGTCACCCAAACACAACATGCTGGTGAAATACAGGCTCGTGTGTTTGTTTTCTTGGTCTTTTCTCTTTGGGGAGGAGGTGGGGAGCTCGCTTCATTTTCAATGCTCATTTGTTCTTATCCTGTAAGGCTCCCCATCATCATTCATTTTCATGATAGCTGACTGAATCTGTGCTGTCCACGTCTTACTGGGAAGTAGAGACAATTAAAAGAATACTTAGTAGATGTAACTCTTAAATATATTATTCTAAGTGAGGTTTACTTTTATATGCATAGTCCCGAAAGTTTATAGATAAATTATCTTCTTTTACTTATTTTTCTGCTGTTTTGATTTAATTTTATATTTTGTGTGGGTATTGGGGCTTGAACTTGGCATCTTCGATTATTTGGTTTTTCGCTCCAGGCTGGCACTCTACCACTAGAGCCATACTTCCACGTCCAGCTTTTCCCTGGTTCACAGTAAAGTCTCATGGACTTTACTGCCTGGGCTGGCTTCTAACTGCAATCCTCAGATCTCAGTTTACTGACTAGGTTTACAGATGTGAGCCACCAGCTCTGATCATGGCTCTGTTTTATTTAGCTCTTTAGAAAATTCTGAAATATATAGGCTGGGAATGTGGCTTAGTGGTAGAGAGCTTGCCTACCACGTATGAAGCCTTGGGTTCCACTTCTTAGTACCACACAAACAGAAAAGGTCAGAAATGGAGCTCTGGTTCAAGTGGTAGAGTACTAGCCTTGAGCAAAAGAAGCCCAGGGACAGTGCCTAGGCCCTGAATTCAAGCCCCAGGACTGGCAAAACAAAATCTGAAATATAGGAGTGGTTTGGTTTGGCTCATGTCAGGGTTTATCACGACTTAATGTGTAATTTTATTTTACTCTCTAAATACCAAACTCTGTGTCTACTATTTTTTTCTCTAGATTTCTTTGGTGAAGTGATTTAAATAGAAAGTCAAAATATTTATTGAAGGCAAGCAGTTTGGGCTTTGGATGACTTTGTTCAAGTATAAAACAGTTACATTACTAAGTGCTGTTTAGTTCAGGGTATTGCAGTTTATTAGAATACTGTACAGATTCTATTAGATTACTTTAGAATACTATGTAGAATGAGAATCTATGTTCAAGTTCATTATTGTTCATTGCTCTTTGTTCATTAGACAAGCAATATATCTTGAATAACATTGCCTCTGAAAGGTATGAGGTAGGAATAGTCATTAAAATGATTTTGCCAGTAATTGATGACACTGTCCCTATTTTTAACATCAAGTAACATCAGTTAAAAGTTATCATACAAACTGTAATTCATTCATTTAAAAACCTAAGGAGAATTCAATATGATTTTTAAAAAATGCAAAACATTGTGTCAGAATATTGTCTGTGAACTTAAGGACTGAAATTGAAAACTGAGTTTACATTCCAATGTCCAGGCACTCTGAACTTGAAAGCAATTAAAAAAAATTATTCCAAAGAATATTGACAGCAGTAGTTGGGAGTTTAAATTTCGTATTCTTATTGCTTGTATTTTTCAAAGATAGACAAGAAAAGTGTTCTTTTTTTCTTTTGCTCAATTTATAATTGTGCCAAAAAGAAGTTATGAATGACCTCTGTTTGTTAGAGATGATTTTTAATTGTATCCACACCCAGACTGTTCAATTCACTTATAAGTTTGTGTTTATGCTGATAGGATTTAGAGTTATGTGTGCTTTAAGCAGAGAGACAACAGGTAAAAAGCAAACCATTGAATTTGCATTCTTTTCCAAGCTCCCTGCTTGAGGTGGCATGAATAGGAAGACCTTTGAAGACATTATTTTGAGTTGAAGACACAGATTTATTTTTCCTTTTTTTTTTTTATTCAGACACGTGCAGAGTCATGATTTTGTTAGAGTAGCTCCTATAACGTCTCTATCATGGTTTGTCAATTGTTTTTGAGCTCCTACACAAGAGCAAACTTAGCAAACTTATCTTTTCTTGTGCCTGTGATTGTACTTGAACTTAGGACCTGGGAGCGGCCCCTTAGCTTTTTTTCATTCAAACCTGGAGCTCTACCACTTGAGCCACAGCAACCTCTGGCTTTTAAAATGGTTAATTGGAGATTAGAATTTCACAGACTTTCTTGCCCTGGCTGGCTTCAAACTGTGATCTTCTGATCCCAGCCTCAGCTAGGATTACAGGTGTGAGTCACCAGCACCCAGGTAAACATTCATTTTTTAAAATAAGTGTTACCAAAGGGCATGTGGGTAGGTCCTAACTGGACCTCAAAAGATGAGGAACTTTGTTATTGCTCTTTGCTTCTTCAGTTTTATAGTACCTTCTGCACCACAGACACTTGAAGCACATTTTCTGAGTGAGAGAGTAGAATGGCTAAGATCTGAATATATGTCCCTGCATGGGGAATAAATTGGCACAAGAAAGTTTGGGGGGTGGAGGGATGAGTAGAGTGTTAAATCCGATCCTATCATTAATTGAACATAGAAATTATCTCTGCTCTACAAATGTCTGAAACCTCCAAAAGCATGGACATGGAGTCAGGGAGTCTGATGTGGAGTTTACAGTTTAGACAGTACAAAGTGATGTTCTCAGACCTTTTGGATTGCAGGACTCTTCTGTGCTCTTCAAAACCACCCAAAGGGGCTTTTGGTTAGGGATGTCTTATCTATTGAGATTTTCTATTTTTAATACTAAAGCAAAATATAAAGCTTATTTAGTTAAAATCTGCACTAGACACAATGTTTTCATCTTACTTAAAGACTACTTTATTTCTTTGCCTTTTTACTTTTATGATCCTTAAGTAATTGTACAAAGGGGCTGCAATTCCACATGCCAGTTTATGAGTACATTGCATCCTGATCACTGTTACCCCTTCCATCCTCCTCCTCCATTTCCCAACCCCTTCCCTCCCCTCAAGTTATAGGACATCATTTTCACACAACACAGTGCATGCTATGGCTGCATTCACACACCCTTCCCTTTTCCATTTATCTGCCCTCCTCTCCTTGTACCCCTCTTTCCTAGCCTCCCCTACCTCCCCAACAGCACATGTTTTAGACCTCTGGTACTGATATCTTCTAAACTTAAAAAAATAAAAAGAGTGACATGGGAATTTAGATATACCTCCAATACACTGATCATTGCTTTTGTTTGTTTTTCCAGTGGTAAGATTACTGGGTCTTACCATCACTCTCATTTTAAGTTTTGAAGGAACTTCTCCCATGTCTTTCATACTTGTCTTGTTAGTTTATATTTCTTGGTTCTTGAGTTCTCCTCCAGGGTCTGAGTATTAACTTGGCTTGGTCTGCAAGTTGTACTACTTGGTTAGGTTCAAGTTGGTTATTTACTCATTTACTTATTTATTTACTGTGCTAATTCTGAGCTTAAGCTCAGGGTGTGGGCTTGTCCCTGAGGTTTGTTTTTTGTTCAAGGCTAGTGCTCTACCACTTGAGCCACAGCTCCACTTTTGGCTTTTTGGTGGTTAATTGGAGATAAGATTTTTTTGGATATTTCCTGCTCAGGCTGGCTTCAATCCTTGATCCTCAGCTCTCAGCCTCCTGAGTAGCTAGGATTACAGGCTTGAGCCTCTGGTGTGCAGCTGTTGTATATTTTTCAACAGTCATTTATTTTGTCTTCTTTTGAGAATCGTCTGTTCAGATCTGCTATCATGATTAAATCCAATAATTCATTTCTGCTATTTACTTATGCATTTTCAGATGTATAATTGGAAAATGTTTTCTTCCATGAGTACATTTTCTCCCATGCTGTATTAAAGCTTTTAAGTTTGAAGTACCCCACTTG